GTTTTCGGAAGCGGGAGGGAAGAGTTAGGGGGTTTTTTATTTTTATTTTTTGTTGTTTTCTTTTTTTTGTCTTTTTTTATTTTTTTATGATTTTTTTTGTTGTTGTTGTATTTTGCTATATACCGCGAGGTCATAGCAATCATTCCGCTAATAGAAACTGACAGGACATAGAGACAGAACTATCTGATGAACACACACAATGACTAGAAATATATATATAGAGAGAGAGAAAGAGAGAAAGAGACAGTGAAGACTTAGTTTACCTCTGAGAAACCATCCCCAAAAAATAAATCCTGTATTAACAAGTGCAAAAAAATAAAAGAACAAATAAACCCAAAATCAAAGGAAAGCAAATAAAACCTCCAAACATTAAAACACAGTGTATAAAATGGTGTGAGAAATTTAAGTCACTTTACAGCCTTTTAGTCAATAAAAAGCTGTGTTTGTGTCCTCGTTTGGATCCAGGCCCATCTTCTGAGATTTTACCCTAAAGGCCCTGCGAGAAGCGGTTGGAGGGTAAAAGCACCCAGTTGTGTCCGAGCGGCAGCGGGCGGGTGCTGGGTGTGCCCTGGCGGGGCCCTGGTGGCCCTGGTGGCCCTGGGGTGGCCCTCCCGGCTACTCCTCGCGCGCCGAGCTGTCTTCCAGCGCGTTGATGCCCCCTACGCTCAGCGCCGTGCTGTTCTGCGCCGCGGAGGCCGTGAGCACTGTGTGCAGGAGAATCAGTACGAGCACACACAGTTTGAGTCTGCTGTTGCACAGTCTGGTTGCTGATGACACTGTGAGTGACGTCCTGTGACAGGGGCCGCTGGTCCCCACCGTCCCTCTGGAGGGCTTGCTGGGGCGCTCTTCTCTCCTGACATCACAGCATTCGGGTTCATCATTGGTTAGGAAGGTTTCGTAGAGCCCTGGAGGGTGAAGACAGGACAGGGCCCGGTTAAAAGGCGCCAAGAGCCACGGGCAGGAGCTCACACAGTACAGTGAAGCTGTTATTCTAACGTTCTGATCCACAAAATCTTACAGGCAGTTAAGCATTTTGTAAAGGAAAGGCAAGTCAATGCAATGTGGACACATAGTCAACCGGTACTTTTAAGTTCCTCACTGCGCTCTTTTTACATTCCCGGAGGCCACACCAGGGAAGCTCTGGGTTGTGATGAATACAGAGTGAAAGGTTCCATTAGGTCCAAAATCAGAACCTGAGGTTCTGGATCAGCTTGGTGACCAAGGCTGTACAACCATCCTTTTTCTTTAGAAGGAATGCGATTAACTGATGTAACAGGTAAAGTAACAGTAACTACTTGTGCTAAGAGAAACAACCGAACAATTGTAACATCATAGCTCTAGGAACCAGCTTTAGTAATCATTCCTCTCGACCTCACCCTGTCCTTAGCTCGCCTTCTTGGTGAATGGGCAGAGCCTTCTAAGCATCCAATGGGGACATTTCCGTTGGATTTATTTTGTAAATATTGTTCTTTTTCTTCCATTTGCTGTTCTACTGCAGAAGACCTATCTTATGCTTGGACCATTGCAGGAAGAGGCTCTCTGTTGTTCTATTTCCAACCTCCCCTGCCTTTCCAGGAATGCCTGCCCCCTCTCTTTTATCTTCCCTCCTCCCGGAATCTCTTCTCTTCCTCCCTTCTCCTTTCCCTGCTTCCTCTATAATGCATTGTTCTTATTTTTAAATTGATACATGGATATTTTAGAAACTTTCAAATTGGTGAAAAGAATAAAATACTTGGCTACCTCAAATCTTTCCAATCTTGTTTCTTGCTCTGTTATATATAATTTTGTTAAGTAGCTACAGAACCCATTTTGTATCTTTTTTTTTTTTACCTGACAGCCACATTTTCGCAAGAGTGTTAGCAAAAACTTTCTACACAGATTTTATTATACTATCCTCAAGCTTGAAACTTTAAAAGCGAGGACAGAGTAGTTACAAGGATTAAATCAAGATTTTGTATGTAAAGAGCTTGGCTTAGTGCCTAGTATACAGAAGCATGAAAAATTTGGCTCCTCTTAATAATAATAGCTAGTAGTAGTGTCTCATTGTCTCCACCTAACTAATACAATCTAAAATACCTTTTCCCATCTCTGCAGACTCATTGGCCAATGTTCCAGTTCCAGCCTGAACTGCTGGTTCTTCCAGAGCACACAATACCTTCACCACTTCTCAAGCTGCTTTTTCTTCCTGGACTTTTTTCCATCAACTCATAGACCTTACTCTCATTTATCTTCAAGTTCAGCTTTCCTGACATTGCCTGTGTGAAGTCTATACTCTCTCCTGGGCTGCTAGTGTATTCTGTGGAACTCTTCAGTTGTGATCTGTCCTTTTCACCGTAATTGCTAGTTTTATGTCAATTTCCTTATTCATCTGTCACCTTAAAAGCAGGAACTATGTATTTCAGCTTTGTGTTCCCACTATGTAAGAATGCCTGAACAAAACAGATACTTAACAAGCACTTATTACATGAATAAACTCAATACATATTTGTTTAATTAAAAATCTATTAAATAAGATATTATACACTGCAATCTTCAGTTTCTTTTAAAGAAATGACCAAGATATCCTTATAATGATGCTTACAATATTCATTTCTTCTTAGGCATTCAAAGGTAAACTTCACCTTCTCCTAGATAGAATACGGAAAAAAAACTGAATTAATGAGGTCTGCATCTCCGACATTTTTATTGTATGATATTTTCTTTTTTCAAATAAGATACCTCACTAGTAGACTAATCATTTATTGAAGTATACATTTTCCAAATTATATTCTACAAAAAAGAGAGTTTATAGTTAAGATTATAAGAATAGAAATCTAAAGTTCATTTAGATCAACATTTTAGAAAGTTAATAGTGAGAATATATATATTTGACAAATTCATCCAAATAAGAAGCTCTTCCAAATGTGTTCAGAAGCTAGTTTACTGATGTATAACTAAAGTCATTTCAGAAAGAATAAGGCAGTTCATTTAGGCCAATAAATGTACTATTCTGCTTGACTGATAAAATTCACACTTTCTTTCCCCCTTGTCCATCCTTTCATAGGATTTTTTCAGAGTTATACATGCATATATATTAATAATCAAATAATTCCACAAGATATTTAAAAAAAAAATTCTTCCACCTCCCCCAGCCCCAATTTTTCCTTCTCAGAGACAAATACTTGAGCCTCTTTCTGCTGTTTCTGTATTTAGCTACATTTCTGGAAATAACCTGTTTTATGCTTTTCTTGATTTTTTTTTTATCTTTTTATCTTTATAGACCTCCCCCTAGGGCACGTGAGGATAAAATACTCATTTTTCAGCCCATATGCACCTCCCACTCTAAGTTCAGCATGCTTCCCTGTATTACGACGTTGTCAAAACAAGTCTTAACTCAGACATGCAGTCACCTGGAGGTCTCCGTCCCTCGCCATTCTGGTTTTCCAAGAGTTAATCATTATCTAACGGTTTCCTACGTACTCATGACTTCAACCCCAAATCCCTCCCGGTTGTTTCGGCAGAATGGGGATGTTCTATCAGCTTTATCTCCCGGAGTCTTTCACGATCTGGACCTGTTGCTTTTATGCCTGGCGCACAGCCACCAGCCTGACAGCCTCAATGAACGACCCCCCTGGGGACACCTGCAGCTTCTGTCCTGTGGCTCTCCTATTGAGGAATAGCTCCTATGTCCTTTCTGGGTTTGGTGGACCAAGGTAGTATCTTCGTAAGGAAAAGCTCCTGGTAGCAAATTTCTGAGATGCCGCATGCCTAAAAATGTGTTTATTCTACCTCATATTTCATTTCTTGTTTGGCTGAGCACGGAATTCTAGTTCAGAAATTCTTATCCTCCAGATTTCTTTCTGTGCATGACACCATCTTCAGTTGTTGGGCTTCTGGGCCCCACCTTTTAGTTTTATTTTATTTTTTAATGTTTATTTATTTTTGAGAGAGAGAGAGGGAGGGGCAGAGAGAGAGAGAGAGAGAGAGGGAGACAGAGGATCCCAAGCAGGCTGTTCACACTCAGTGCGGAGCCCGCTGTGGGGCTCAAACTCACAAACTGTGAGATCATGACCTGAGCCAAAGTCAGATGCTTAAGTCAGACCGCTTAACCGACTGAGCTACCCAGGCGCCCCTGGGCCCTGCCTTTGAATTCTCTTATCTCATTTCTCTTTATGCCACTGCATCTCTTTGCTCTACTTTCTGGAGGATTTGGGGACTTTCATTGTGTAATGATATTATTGAGTTTTGTTTTTTTTTTTCTATCACATTTTAATTTCCAAGAGTTCTTTCACGTACTCCGAATGTTGTTGTTTTGTTTTGAACTGACTGGTCTCATTTCACAGTTGCAATATATTCTTTCATCGTGGAGAGATTTGCAGAGCTTTTATTTGCCACGTTTTATTTCCTCCCTGCAGGGGCCCTGTTTTCTTCAAGTCATTTTTTTCTTCTTGGTTTGTTCATCTCTTATTTTTTACGCGAGAAGCCTGTGCGTTCTGGATCCAATGTCTGCAGGAGAAAGTATTGCAATGGAGCACCTAAGCAAGGTTGTGACTGGCCTGGGAAGGCGACCTGCCTGAACTATTTAGATGGAGGAGTTTGTACATTTCTTTGGATCAGATTTCCCAGAAAACATGCGGCCTATTTGTCCAGGAGAGCAAAAGCTCTTTGAACCTTATCCATCCTTCCATCCTTTCGGATTTATGCCTAAAAACAATTTCTTTTCTGTTGGGTCTGCCTAGAAAACATCACTGTACTTTTCTGTATCTCGTTCTGCTCTGTTCCATCTCTGATTCATTCCCCCAGCTAGAATAATACCGGCAGGTGGATCCAGAAACCGTCTCTCGGCCCCTGGGCATCTGCCTTCGATCATCAGGGCATCTGTGAAGGGCCATTCCAGCTCCAGATACTGTCCCTCTGAGAATCCTGCTTCCCTGACCCCCTGGCAGGTGCACTTCCGGGATCAACCACCTGCTTCCTGGGAAACAGACATGCTTCCTGGGAAACCTACCCCCAGCGGCTGAGTCTTCCACATCATTCAAGGGACTACCAGAACTTATTTCCAGATGAAAAGAATTCATTTCTCACGCAATAATTTCATTGCACAAATGAAATTCATTGCACGTTATATATATTAGAAAGGGAAAAGGTTACGAAAGGGAAAAGGGAAATTTTCAGTGAATGAAATGTTCTGATACATTTTGCTTACAAAATACTCTGAAATCTCTAACGAATCATTAGCTGCCATTTGGCATTAAGTAATAATAATAATAATAGGAATTACTATTCTATCTTATAGTACCAGCCTCATGGAGGTTTTTTTTGGAGAATTAAATAATATACACAAATTGCTTAGAATGGTGCCTTCAGATAGTAAAATCTCACATAATAATTATTGCTATTGTAAGTTGGGACAAAGAATAGAATCAGATTTATTATGGTCGGGGGGAGACGCCTGGGTAGCTCAGTCGGTTAAGCGTCTGACTTTGGCTCAGGTCACGATCTCATAGTTCATGGGTTTAAGTCCCACATTAGGTTCGGTGCTGACAGCTCAGAGTCTGGAGCCTGCCTCCCATTCTGTGTCTCCCTCTCTCTCTGCCCCTCCCCCGCTCATGTTCTGTCTCCCTCTCTCTCTCTCTCTCTCTGTCTCTCAAAAATAAACATTAAAAAATTTTAAAAAGGTTAAGGGCACCTGGGCGGCTCAGTCGGTTGAGCGTCTGACTTTGGCTCAGGTCATGAGCTCACAGCTCCTGAGTTTGAGCCCCGCGTCGGGCTCCGTGCTGACAGCTCAGAGCCTGGAGCCTGCTTTTGATTCTGTGTCTCCCTCTCTTTCTGCCCCTAACCCACTCGCATTCTGTCTCTGTCTCTCTCAAAAATAAATAAACATTAAAACAAAATTTTAAAACAAGAATTTATTATGAGAAAAGAC